ATGCTAAGCTAGCGCTAGCCTAGGCTAGCTACTCTTTACTATACAGAAATTAAACTGTGTGAAAATGACAAGTGCAGCAGAAGGTGTTTTAAAGTAGTTCTGGTCAGTTAGAGTTTCTGAGATCCAGAGATATCACAGAGAAAAGAACTTAGTTCAACATGCAGCTCAGTAGTCAGACAGGAAGGGAACACGATACGTCTCACAAGCAGCAGCAGTAGCTCCCTCTAGTGGCACATGAGCACAGAGGATGTGGTCTATAACATCAGACATCAGCCTTGAATAATTCATGATTTGCAGTCAAATATCAGGGGTGCAGGAAAAGAGGGACTCAAGTTTATTAAAAAGAATCAGATTTTTTCATCTAGTGTTTTTTTAACCAAAGTGCAAAGGTCAATAATGACTCCTCTGGCAATAGCTCATATGAATAAAACACTGAAGGGCTCCAAAACCTTGAGAGACTTCACTTGTATAGAATATTGACGCTTCCCCTTTTTCTCTGCCTTTTCAGGGACAAAGTCCACCCTTTGTCTGTTGCCTCCTGCATGCCACTTGTTTTCATTGCTGGAGGCAAAAGAGGCCTAATTTGCACCACTGTCTTTTGGGTCCAATTATTATAATAGCAAATGTATTGGAAAAACAATCAAACCGAAACAATAAAGAGATGCTGCTATCATGAATTTTAATCATCTTCACATTTAAAATGTTTTTCACACCTTCAGCGATTTTTGAGCTTCACCTTGTTTCTCTGAAGTTTCTTCCTATTATCTGCAGTGTGTAGGCAATTGTTTGAACTGAGCTACAAAGCGTCTCAGCTCAGAAGGAGCTGCAGTGCCGTGGGAAAAAAATTGATGCCTTATAAAGATTTCTCATGTTTTTGCATCACATTTTAGTATCAAGCTAAATAAAAAATGTATATAAATAAAAAATGCATTTATCAAAAAAAAAAAAAAAAAAACAGTATACAAGGCCAACTAAACCTGTTGGAAAATAAAAGTGTTACTCATTAAATTATAAATGAACTATAATCACATGCTTTGCTGTAAGATAAATAAGTGCAGTTATTCTTGAATTGGGCAGATAAGTGGAAACAACTGCAGTGTCCTATTTCAAGGGCATAATATCTAATTATCTCATTTTAATGATAACAATACTCATTCCATTGCCAAATCAGCTTATTCTCCTGTTCAAATTAGGGGAAATACTCTTATTTTAAGAAACTTTTACTCATTTTCAGAACGTTTTGCAGTGTTGATACTAAAATGTTATTTCTAAATAAGTCATTTTTTCTTAAAAAGAGGCTATTTTATTTCTTTAATTGAGGAGGTAGGTGAGACGTTTTTGCCAGTGGAACAAGACAATTTACCTTTTTAAATAAGAAAAAAACCTTTTTTATTGTCTTAATTTAAGTGCATATTATCTAATCATTTTATTTTATCTAATTATCCTGTTTTAATAGTCAAATCATCTTCTTTACCTACGGCACTAAAATTAAGGGTAAATACAATTAATTTAAGAATTTGGTACTTTTTTCTTGAGCATTTCTGCATTGTAGTTTTAAAGACTTTAACACATCATGCATCATCAGAATCAGAAATAGTTTAATGATTCCAGGAGGAATTATCTTCATTACACGCTCCAGGTATGCAAACAACATGTTAAAAACATTCATCATCTAAAGAAATATAATACAATTTTAAACACTGAAAATATAAATATATACATATGCAACAATATATATTTATATATTTACAGATCTAAAAAAAAAAGTCATAGCAATGGGCAAAAGAGAGCAAAGGAAAATGTCAATAATTGTCAATAATTTTATAATCTGAGTCAGAATTACAGAGGGGTGGTTAAGAAAGTTGTCTCTAAAATGTCCTAATTGATGACGACCCATCAAGAAGACTTTTGACTTTTAGATTTTAGACAGATTTTATTTGTCATTTTGTTTACACAAGTTTAAAACAAAAAAGAAATTTCGTTTGGAAACAGCTCACTGGACAATTTCATCTTTTTAAAA